TTACAGATCCTGGAACCCCGATATCTCTCAGATATAAAAAGTATGATCATATCACTATTAATACAGAGTGAAATGTTTATATGACAACCAGTCTTACTAAATTTCAACGCACAGATCTAGATTTAATACTGGTTTCTCTATAAATTATGCTGAATTTCAACACAGTGACTTACCAAAAATAAAAATCTATATCTTCTTTATCAAAGAAATACAGCCTATCTTTACTTTGACACTTTAGGTAAACTGCTTACATACACACCTTTCCGAGAAAAATAAATATGTGTTTACTCTTCTATCTCTCTCCCTACACCAAGCCATATAAATCTATGTCAAGACTCTACTCACTCTCGAAGTAATGGCTAAAATGACTTACATATACTTTGAGCTTTGCTACACTTTATCTGCGAAAAAGGGACCTCGCGGAACAGAAGTGGGTTCCCGTGCATCGCAGGCCACGGTGAACGACCCAGGAAAAGTTTGCAGGTCTTGGGGTGTGCTCGGAAGGAAGAGAGAGAGAGAGAGAGAGAGAGAAACAGAGGGAAGACGGAGGAAGAGAAGGGGAGAGAGAGAGAAACAGAGGGAAGACGGAGGGAGAGAAGGGGAGAGAGAGAAACAGACGACGGAAGGAGAGAAGAAAACAGAGAGAAAGAGAGAGAAAAATAGAGGGAAGACGGATGGAGGGAGAGAGAAAAACAGAGGGAAGACGGAGGGAGAGAAACAAAACGGAGCGAGGCTGTGAAGGAAAAGAATGAGAAAGAGAAATAATGAAAAAAACAGAAGGAAAGAGGAAATAGAGAGAGGAAAACAGATAAAGAGAGAAAAGAAAGAAAAGAAAAGACAAACACCCAGCTCAAAGAACCAAAAAAACAAAAACACTCTACCCAAATAAAGAAGAAAAAAACAAACAAACCACACCAACTTCACCAGACCCCAAAGACCTCCCCCCCTCTCCCTATACCCTAAACACACCCCTTCCTCTCCCCATCCTCCCTTCCACACCCCTCCCCCCTTTCCATCCCCCTCACCCCAAGGAACGTCTTAAGCAGAGAAGCCCAGAATACAGCCCCGAGCAGACCAAAGAAGGGTCTTAATCTTGTCTCGGATGATTTTGGTGCCTTCCCTGCTGAAGTGTTCTCCCTCAGGCACGTCGCACGACTGTTGGCGTTGCAGCTCCATGCAGTCCAGGAACTCCTGTTGGGGGTAAACGGGTCTTAGGGGGCGGGGCTTGGGATTTGGTTATTTGCATAATTGAGGATTTGTTTGTTTTTGTTTATCTATTCGTTTTTGTTTATTTGTTCCTTGATTTATATTGTTTATTTTTATTTACTTCATCATTTTATTTAAGTAGCTCTTCTTATTAATTTATTCTACTTATTCATCTTTATTTGTTTGATTATTTATTTTCATTTTCTTATCTATTTATTCATCAATTATATCTATCTATTTATTACCCACTTCTATTTATTCATTTGCATATTTTCATTTATCTATTTTATTTTTTATTCATTTATCTTTTTATATCTTTCTTTATTCATCTTTATTTATTTATTTACCTATATATAATTTTTTCCCCATTTTCTTATTATCTATTTATCATTTTACATTTATCTATTTTCTAATGTGTGGTTGATGTTTTTAATTATTTCATTCTAAATGGATATGGAAAAATGTTTTTACAGTAAATGTGGATAAATTCCAGTTGTCCAGCATCCCATTGCTTCACTTCATAGTCTATATGCAATCGTATCATTTTCCTTCACTTTCACTTATCTATACATATAAAAGATTCATCAACACCCCGATGAAAATTCAATTTGACTGACGTAAACATACAAAATATTCACTGAAAGAAAATTCAATTTAACTGACCTAGACATACAAAGGATTTATCAGCACGATGAAAATTCGATCTAACTGACCTAAATATACAAAAATATCATCAACCTCTCATAGAAAAGTCAATCTAACTGACCTAAACATTAAAAAATCACCAACCTCTCATAGAAAAGTCAATTTAACTGATCTAAACATTAAGAAATCATCAACTTTCAGATGAATATTCAATCTAACTGACTCCTACATGCAAAAAATTCACCAAGGGGAAGGCTAGATCAGTAGCAACTCGAGAAGGTGTCATGGCGTCAGTTTTGATGATTGTTCAATGAAAATATCTATTAAAATCATTATTTTCCATATTTTTTGAAAATTGAAAAAGACCAAAATGATCGACCATATTCACAAAGCATCCGTAACTTTAGTGACGTCATCAAAAATAAACCCCATGTGCTTTTTCCCCAAAATAGAACCAGACGCCATGACACCTCCTCGATTTGCTACTGATCTAGCCATAAGATTCACCAGCCTCACGGTGATGACTCACAAATCTCGATCTCTTTCTTCTTCTGATCTTTCTCTGAAAGTCAGGGTGAAGTGTTCTGTGATTTTCCCGCAGGTGTGAATGTTCCTCGCATGACACGCCTCTGTGGGAGAGAAAGAGTCAATGGGGTCAGTAGAGGAGAGGTGGGGTCAAATTGGGGTCAAATGGGTCCAGTCAGAGGTCAGTAGAGGGAGGTGGGGTCAAATGGGGTTAGGGGAGGGAGGTGGGGTCAACAGGTCAGTAGAGGGAGGAGGGGTCAAATGGGATCAGTGAATAGAGGTGGGTTCTTTGGAATGTCATTAGAGGGATGTGGAGTCAAATGGAGGCAATGGAGGAACGATGAGTCTCTGGATAGTCAGTGAAGGGAGTAAGGGATAATTGTGAAAGAGTGAGTACTATAAATGTGTTTAATGTTCATGGATGTGTTAGTCTGAATACTTGAGTGCCATGGATGTCTCCTTCGTATGTTCATTATGTCATAACTATGCTTCTAGTGTCGCGTTTGCACATTAGGTGTCATGGATATACTTTCAAAGTCATGAATACATTGTTAGTACTAGGTATGTGTTTTCCATGTCATTAATACTTTTAGAATCATAGATGTACCTTTTAACAGCCATGTGCTTTTACAACAATCATGTTCTTATTCCTAAAAAAAAAATTGTATGTGTTCAGATTTTAGTGCAATGTGGAATGTCTATTGCAGTAATTTTTTGGATTAATTATCATGAATGGACTATCATGAATTAATTGATAGTTATATATATTATATATATATATATATATAATATATATATATATATATATATATATATATATATATGTATATATATTTTGTAATAGTATAATTTACTATAAAAACTACTCCATCTATCTAAAGATCTAAAATCCGTTTAATCATTCTGAAAACTTCACAAGACAAGGAACTAAACCAATCTACTATTCACTAACCAATCTACTATTCACTATTTCCTACTTACATTTGCAAAACAAACACACTCTATAAAAAGAACACACAACACAAAACAAATAAACTAAACAAAACTAAACCACACACCTAAAAAAAAATCAAATCAATAAAAGAAAAGAAAAAAAAAGCTACAAAACTTATCAAGGGACTCGCAACACATTAGAATGGACGCATCGCAGCCCTATCATGCACACTGACGCGAACCCAACCGCGCATGGGAATGATCCTCGCGCAATTAGTCAGCCTTTATCGGTCATGCACTTCGAGACTGAACGCAAAAAGTGATCTTTTACATACGAATATCGGTGACTCGCACGCTTGCGCAAGGGTTTTATCAATGAAGATTCTGGCTCGAGCCCGTCATCGCGTCGACGAATAAGCACGCACGGATGAGGGAGGGAGGGAAGGGGGGGAAGGAAGGAGGGAGTGGGGGAGGGAGGGAAGGGGAAGGGAAGAGGGAGGAGGGAGGGGAAGGGAGGGGAGAAAGGGGGGAAGGGAGGGGAGGATGAGAGAGAGAGGGGGAGAAAGGAGGGAAGGGAGGGGAGGAAGAGAGGAAGAGGAAGAGGAGTATGAAAGCGGGAGAGGAAAGGAAGGAGAGATAGATGAATATATGTAGGAAGAGGAGAGGGAGAGAGGGAGGAGAGAGAGAGAGAGAGGAGAGAAGAAAAAAATAAGGATTGGAAATGAGGATTTGGTACATGAGAGGAAGGAATGTGTAGTAAATACCAATATACACTCAGAGGGGATGCTTAAGAGAGTGAGGCGAAGACCAATTTAGACAGATTAGGTTGGCATACATCCTCCCTCCTGTGGATGTATGAAAGGTGAAATATAGAAAGGGGGGAGAGAAAGAGAGAGAGAGAAGAGAGAGCAGAGAGAGAGAGAGAGAGAGAGAGAGAGAAAGAGAGAGAGAGAGGAGAGAGAGAGAGAGATAGACAGATAGACAGACAGATAGATAGACAGCAGAAGACAGACAGATAGACAGAAACAAAGAGACAAATAATTGAGAGAGAGAGAGAGGGGGGGGGGGGAGGGGAGGGAGAGAGAGAAATAGACAGAATAGGACAGAAACAAACAGACAAGTAATTGAGATTTAGAGAGGAGAGAGAGAGAGAGGAGAGAGAGAGAGAGAGAGGAGAGAGAGAGAGCAGAGGAGAAGGGAGAGCGAGAGAGAGAGACAGACGACAGACAGACAGACAGATAAACAGAAACAAAGAGACAAGTAATTGAGATTGAGAGAGAGAGAGAGAGAGAGAGAGAGAGAGAGAGAGAGAGAGAGAGCGAAGCAGAGAGAGAGAGAGAGAGAGAGAGAAGAGAGAGAGAGGAGAGAGAGAGAGAAGAGAGAGAGAGAGAGAGAGAGAGAGACGAGAAGAGAGACTCGCAAGCATAGAAGATACCTGCAGAATATCCTTTTACCTTTCACACTGATATACCTTCATGGCATCTTGCATGAATACCATTAATCAGTCTGTCAGTCAAGCGACGATGTATGTTACTATTATCATTGAAATAGACAAATGAATAATTAAACAACGCGTTATGATCGGATCGTATTCACTGGTAATAGTTGAATTAGCATTAAATTGTGATTTCAATTGCGTTTGTAAGTGGTTACGGTTTTGTGTGTGTGTGTGTGCGTGTGTGTGCGTTTCTGTTCATGTATAAACCCTTTGACTTTTTGCTGTAATTATTTTACTCCGCATGGCTAATCCGTAAGTTAATGCTGACGTAATTTTTGAGCGGTCATAACTGTCTAGACAACCTGAATGCGTTACTTTAATCAGCCTATTGATTTTCACCCTTCTGTTCATAATGTTGATCGCCCTACTAACCCAAGCCCCTCACGCAAAGGGCCTCTCCTCTCCTGAAGCGAGCTAGTGCCTCCCTCCTGTCCTCCTTCCGCCCGCCCTACCGAAGGCCCTCCACCTCGGGCGCGTCGATGCCACGCCCGCAGTCCATTCTCAGTCCACAACAACAACAACACATATACAACACCTGACACTGGGGATCTGATATGCCTGGTACCTCGCTGGGCCTCCGTGGTCATCTCCGGGTGCTCGAAGGCGCTAATGATGTCCTTGGACGCCGGCAGGTTGAGGCCGGACAGCGGGGAGTGGAGCCAGTCGAGGCCCCCGCCGCCCTCCTGCAGGAAATCCGGCTGGTGGTAGCTTCCCAGGGATCCGAAGTCGTGCTCGCCCGCAGCGAAGGGCTCCCGGCCCTTGTAAGTCTCGCCGAAGGGTCCCAGGTCGGGAAAGGGCTCCGGGAACGTCAGCTTGTGGTCGAAGTCTTCGTGGGGCGCGCTCTCGAAGAAGCCGTTGCTGCCGAAGTCCTTGGCGAAGGGGGTCTTGCTGAGGACGCTCTGCCGGAAGCCCTCTCGCTGGCTCTCGTTCTCGCCGTGGAAGTGATCCGTCTGGAAGGGGCCCTTGGCGACTGGTTCGGGCTGGAAGTCCTTGTTGCCGAAGCGCGCCCCGGGGACGAAGTCCTTGGGGAATGTCCTGGGGCCGGCGAAGAGCTCTGGCACAGTCAGGTGGTCGTCCTCGTGCTCTTCGGTCCCGGCGCGATGGTCGTTTCCTTCGCCGTCCTCGCGCTGGAGGTCGTCCTCGTCGATGCGAGGAGGACTCTTCACCTGGACGAAACCAGGGACGCGTTGACTCCCGGCGAAGGGGGAACCAAGAGCCTTGCCGAGGCGCTGGCGGTGCTTCCTCATCTTGTTCTTGCGCTTGTTGCCCAAAACGGCCTTCCGCGAGAACATGTCCGAGGCTTGTTTGCCGGGACGTCGCGCCTTCAGCTGGCGGCCGACGGGGCTCAGCTGGGGGGAGAGCGGGGCTTAAGCACTCACTTAGTCACAAATCTAATGATAACAACAATAATCGTGATAATTATAATTAACACTATCGATATTAACACTACTATATTAACAATGATAATTAACACTATCGTCATCATTATCATTGTTGTTATTATCGTTACTGTAGTCTTTTATCATCACCATCGGCATTATTATTACTATTATCAATATCATCCGTATCATTACTATCTTTATTATAATGACTACCATCATTATCATCATTACTATGATCCTCATTATTTTTACTAATCATATTGTTAATATCATTAAAGAGAAGTTAGAGCAATAATAATAATGGTAATTGATGATGATAACATATAAATAATATGATAATAACAGAGATAATTGCAATGAAAACAGCAATAACAGTACTATCAGGAATAATAGTGTTAGGAATAGTAATAATAGAGATAATATCCAAATTTATAACTGGAACAAGAAGACCTGTGTCTCAACAGAAAACCCATTTCCACATTAACCAAAACAAAGCTAAATCAACCTCCAAAAACCCAACCGGAAAGACCCTCCTCACCTTGTCCTCCAGGATGTGTTCGAGGCCTGGCAGCTCCTTGGCGTGGTTCGAGTAGAAGGACGGCCTCGTTGCGGGCAGCCAGGGGAACTTGTGGTCGTCCTCATCGTAGTCATCTGTCGAGGTCGAGGTCCAGGAAGGGATGTTAGATCGTGAGTTGGTTTGGGTGTGTGTGTGTTTGTGTGTGTACTCATGCAAATACACATGAGGAATACATGAGGAAATACACATACGCGCACACACACTTAAGCAGATACCCATACACACCTACACCTACACAAAACACACACACACACACAGCCACACACAAACACCACCACACCACACAACACACACACCCACACACACACACACACACCACCACCACCACACCAACACACACACCATTCCACCTACAACATACGCCACACACACACACCACATTCACACACCCAACACCTATGATCCATGAGGAATCGTTCTACACATATTGCGCGAATGAAGATAAAATCGTTCACGGGGTCACGGCGGCGTTCTCTGACGAGGCCCAACGCGACCAGGAGGACCAATTAAACAATGGCACGACTTCCACTGTGGCCGTTTTTCCTGCCCATGTTAGTGTTGTGTTATTTTCGACTATATTATCACAATTATGACGTATCTATGCATCATTCACCATTATGATCATTATCATTATCACCAATGAGGAAATCGTTCTCACTGAACCGCGGGCGTGTGGGCTGGATATTGCGCAGAATGAAGGGGTTGTTGGGCGTGAATCCTCCGCGGCGGAGTTTGTTGAGCACGGGCGTCACGGCGCCGTCTCTGCGGGCGGACGAGGGCCAGGCGGACATTCCTGGAAGGAGGGGGAGGGAGGGGGGTATTAAAAATGCTATTTTATGCATGTTGTTGTTTTTTTGTTGTTGTTGTTCAGTGTTTATTATCATAATCATCACCATATGATCATTATTATCATTATCATCATCACCATAATGATCATAAACTGTATTATCATCAATTATCATTATCATCACCATTATGATCATTATAATAATTATCATTGATATCATTATCATTAGGGCTACAATAATGGTGATAACTTCTTATCATGTCTACCATCATTGTTATAGTATTTTTGCTATCATTATAACTGTGTTTGTGGTTAATACTGTTATGACCATTATCTTCAGTCATTTCCATTATACTCAGGATTATTTATATATCATTATCATTATCATTATTATCATTTTCATCATCATCATTATTATCATATTATTATTATTATTATTATTATTATTATTATTATTATTATTATTATTATTATTATTATTATTATTATTATCATTATTATTATTATTATTATTATCATTATTATAAGTAGTACTAGTAGTAGTATCATTATCATCACATCATCATCACTATCATCATTGGTAGTAGTGGTCGTCATCGTCGTAGAAAATTCAGTCTATAGAATTCCTCACATAGACTTCTAAAATAACAAATCTCTTCCCTTTTAATTTTCAAAAAAAAAAAATCCCAGCAGCCTCCCAAAGGAAAACCAAAATAAACAAGCAAACAGAAAGAAACTATAGAGCTTCTCCCATCACAGTCTGTCTCTGAGCTGCGACGAATGAAAATAAAAAATGAAAAAAAAGGAGAAATAAAAAAAGGTGAACGAGTGCCTGTAGGACCTAGCAGTACGGCCGGACCTCAACCACTGCTATCATTACGCTCCTACAAGCTAAAAAAATCCTGCTGCAAACGCTTCATCAGCTGTGAGATTGCCGGCCGGCCGTATACACGCGATGAGCTATTTTTAAAAGCAGAAGAAAAAGAAGAAAAGAAGAGGAGAAAGAAGGAGAAGAAGAAGAGCGAGTGTCTGTTGGTTGGGTCTTGGGTCTTCCCCTCGGGCCGCCGTCGCCGCCTCCGACTGCTTTTCGTTTTGTGGTGTTTGGTTTGGCTGATTTTGTTGTTGTAATTGTCTAAATTGCTCTTAATTCTTGTTTGGATTGGCTGATTTTGTTGTTGTAATTGTCTAAGTTGTTCTTAATTCTTGTTTGGATTGCTGCTCTTATTGGCTGATTTTTGTTGTAATTGTCTAAATTGCTCTTACTTGGTGCTTGGATTGGCTGATTTTGTTGTAATTGTCTAAACTGTTCTTAATTCTTGTTTGGTTTGGCTGATTTTGTTGTTGTAATTGTCAAAGTTGTTCTTACTTGGTGTTTGAATTGGCTGATTTTGTTGTTGTCATTGTCTGAACTTGCTATTGTGGTTTTATTATCATTGTTAATGGCACCATTATCGTTATGAATGCTACTGTCAGTATTGTTATTATTTTGATTACTATTGTCATCGGCAATATCAATATAATTCAGTATGCAACAATAAAGTCTGCTGTTATGTTGCCGTTGATATAATTTATATCATTATCTAAAAACAAATGACATCAATAGTAATGCAGCCAAGGATTTTTGGGGGAGTCTCGGAGTTTCCATTCTTTAACTAAATAAAATTGTGTTATCTATAGTAACATAAGCATTTAGAGTTTAAAAAATAATAATAATGGTATTTGCAACAATGCCCCCTCCCCCCCCGAAAAAAAGGAACCAAAAGTTTATCAACAAGTATATGGAAAAAAACAGGATTAAGATGGATATCCAGTAGTATCAAATATAAAAGAAGGCAAAATGAAGAAAAATATGGATGAATATTGGAAGGAGCAAGGAAAGAAAATTGGCTGGAAGTTTAGAGGAAAAATATGTCTCCTAAATATTTGCAACAACAAGTAAATTATGCTCAACAAATATAGTAAAAACAAATGTCCCGAAGAATTCATAAGCCTGATTCTTAATAACTAACATGTTATGAATGAACACCATTCATGAGCCTTATAAGTACGTGCAGTGTTTCCAAGAATATATTTTCAGTATAAAAGATTTCAATATGTTACTACTTTTCTTGCTCTCATTTACATTTACTGACCGTCCTCATTTGTTGATAATGATAATATTAATCATCGTCATCATATAACAGCAACAATAATCATTATCATTGCCCTTATTGCAACCATCACCATAATCATTATCATTACCATTATCATCAAGATCAGTATCAACGAAGTCATCCTATTCCTTGCAAATTCTAATTAGAAAAGGAATAAATAGCCAGATAACCAGAAAATTAGAAATAAATAAATAGATTGCGAAAGAAATGCCGAGAGCTGAAGACTCGAAACTTAATCCTTGAAACGTAAACCGAAGAAATTAAAACTTTAAAGGATTCGCCTTAAATCCGAGAAGCTCCCTCGCTATGAGCAGAAAGATAAGATAGATGAATAAATGGAGAGAAAGAGAAACAGAGATGGAAAGTAGGTAAGAAGAAAATATTCAATTATACAGTCTCGTCAAAGCACCGAAGAACAACAAAGCCCCTGGTAGTAACAGCATCCCATCAGAGACATTCAAAGAAGTCCCCCTACGTTAGTCTCATCGCCAACAACCTTCTCAAGCCAGTTGCAGAGACCACCCTCTCCGAGACCAAAAGGGACTCAAGAAGGGTGAGGATAGCCTACGTTACCGCATCCTTTTCAGATATAATCTTTTGTCTCAATAAACTTCAAAGTCAAAGGGCCATCAGACCACCAGCAGGGATAACAGACATGAAGTTTGCCGACTGTCAACTGCAAAAGTACCATGAGCAACATTAACTGCTGTACCTAGGATTTCAAGTCCCTTCCTGTGGCAGATCTTGAGCATATCTAATAGCCATGGGACGTTCATGAGCATCCTGAAAGACCCTGACATTACCACGGTTCTTGTGAATACTGCATACGCTGAAATATTTAAGGTCAGATTTGGAGAAAAACAGGGTAGTGTCATTGTCGCAGCATTGTTGTTGGTATTAGTTGTTGCCATCATCCACCTAATCACAGGAAAGCTCCCACCTAGAATCAGCATCTTCTACTGAACTGATGGGCAGCTCGTCAACCCCCCCAAAAAATGAAAAAAATGAGACCACTGCACTCGCGGATTTTCCATACGCCGATAGCAAAGGAAATGGAAGGGATTCTCGAGACCTATAATGAAGCATGTAAAGCTTGGCCTTCACGTCAACACAGATCAAGACACAGTTCCTATACTAGCCGATCACTTGCGAAACCCCTTAAGCGATTCCACCAATACTCGGAGCATATGCCACATCAGCTGGGACAATTATCGCACGGACATCAGCACCTGGGTTGATGCAAACTTTCCAAGCATCGAATCCTCCATCATCAGGACCTAGCTGCACTGAACAGGCCACCTCGTCAGGATGGATGGCAAAAGACGCCCGAATCAGATCTTCTATTCCCATCCGAGTTGAGGAAACCGAAAACCCCAGATCCATGACGGAACGCAGAAACCTAAGGAGGCGAGAAGACTAGCAAAATAGAAGAGAAGAGAGAAAGGCAGAAGGAGAGACAAGAAGATCCAGACCGCCCTGAGGAGTTCGTGGGAGAAAGAACGAATAGGAAAAAAAGGACCGGTACTTGGGAGCCTGTCATCCTCGACCTTCAAGGGATAGCCCCGACGACTGTCAGTTTGTTATCAAAAGTATTTTTTAAACTATTATTACCGTTATTGTTATCATCATCATTCCTGTCAGCAGTAGTAGTTTTATTATCATTGTTATTTCCACTATCATTATCATTATTACTACCATTGTCTTTAATATTATAATTATGATAAAGGATATTGTTACTCTATGATTATATTTATTTTTCCATCTTTGCAATTACCATAATTATCATCATTATTATTTTCGTCGTTATGATTATCATAACACTGTCATTATTATTGTAATCATCATTATCACTACCGACGTTATCATTATCGTTAATATCATTGCTATTATTATTATGACAATTTCCTTTATTATTATCATTATTAATAGTGTTAGAACTATTGTTAGTATCATTACTATAACCATTGACATTATTAATGCTCTTGTTGTTATTGTTATTAGTTCTGTTATTATCATGATTATCATTATTGTCATTATCATCATTATGATTATTATCAATTTTGTCACTATCATTATGATTATTATCAATTTTGTCATTAGCATTATGATTATTATCATTATTGTCATTGCTATTATTATCATTTTCATAGTTTTTAATAATTTTCATTATTCTTTTTGTTAATATGATCATTTTTACTATTGTTTATCATAACACTGTCATTATTATTGTAATCATCATTATCACTACCGACGTTATCATTATCGTTAATATCATTGCTATTATTATTATGACAATTCCCTTTATTATTATCATTATTAATAGTGTTAGAACTATTGTTAGTATCATTACTATAACCATTGACATTATTAATGCTCTTGTTGTTATTGTTATTAGTTCTGTTATTATCATGATTACCATTACTGTCATTATCATCATTATGATTATTTTGTATCATTATGATTATTATCAATTTTGTCATTAGCATTATGATCATTATCATTTTATCATTGCATCATATTTTTATAGTTTTTTATTGATTTTCATTATTCTTTTTGTGATTATGATCATTTTTACTATTGTTTGTTATCATCATTACCATCATTAGAGGTAGCAGTAGTAGTTTCATCTTTACTATCATTATTGTTGTTTTCAAAACCATCATAAATACTACAATCGTTACCATTGTCATTATCTTCTTCATTTCTCTTATCGCTGTCTTTAGTACCTTATCTATTAGCTTAATCACATATTGTCATTATTGTTCATTCGTAGCAGTTGTATTATTATTCTTAT